ATAATTAAGACTGATAATAGCAACATAAAATAGAGGAATTACCTTCAGAGGACATCTGAGTAAGTGTGCTATCCTAAAGGCAAACTGACTCTTAGATGTTAGACACGGCAGAGTCATGAGAGCCCTGCTTCTCTTCTACACAACCTGCCCAACTAAGTGGTTGTGCTGGACAGCTTTAGTGTCAACTTGACACACCTGGGTTGAGGGAGCCTCAATTGGGGAATCGTCTCTATTGGCCTGCCCTGTGGCCATGTCTGAGGGGCATCTTCTTGATTGTTGAGTGATGTGGGAGGGCCCAGCCCACTGTGGGTGGTGCCACCCCTGGGCAGGTGGGCCTGTGTTGGATAAGAAAGCATGCTGAGCAGGGGCCAAGGGAGCAAGCCAGTAAGCAGCGTTCCTCCATGGCCTGTGCTCCAGCTCCTGCTTCCGCGTTCCTGCCCTGAGTTCCTACCTTGGGCTCCCTGATGAACTATGACCTGGGAGATGTAAGCTAAATAAACCCTTTCCTCCCCAAGTCGGTATTGGTCAGAGTATTTTGTCACAGCAATGGAGAACAAACTAGGACAGTGGTCTTTTGAGTGATAGGGTTGCACAGTAAGGAGGATTCATTGGAAAACTGCCTTGTATTCTCGTTTGCACACGGCACCCTATGACCAAGAGAAGCACTTGCCCACTTTTGCTGACAGGCAGCCTCCAGATATTCCCCACTGTTGCTTTGTTTGCATTATTTAAAGACTAACATAGCTGAAGTTCATTCCCAGGCAGGCTCATGTTGGCCCCTTGAATTTCCATTGCAAAGCACTGATCCTGTCCTGGTTTTCTCTTGGGGTGTTGCCTTGATTCCTATTGAACATTTCATTCCCTAATAATTCTTTAACTGCTAAGTGTTTAGTATTAATCCCTTGTTAGTCATAGTCATATGTGTCTCTATTTATTATTTTCCTTTTGAATTTGTAAGAGGCACTGAAGAGAGAGTTTTGAGCATAGCCCGGATACAGACTTGTTCTGCCATTTACTAGCTATGTGGATGAACTTCAGTGTTAGCTAGCTTTTTGTTACTGTGACAAAATACCTGAGACAACTTAAAAGGAGGAAGTTTATTTTGGCTCATAGTTTCAGACGTTTGGGTCCATGGTTACATGCCCTATTGCTTAGAAGCCAATCTAAGATATTGTAAAATGGGGATGGTAGTAATTCCAGTTTCCTAGGGTTGTCAAAATTAAAATTTAAGGGACAAATAATAGAAAAGTTATTTAGCCCTTACTATGTACTAGGCCTTATTAAACACTTTGGGTATACTCATATACACATAGAAATATAATGTCTATTAACATATTTATATATATTAACTTAGATATCCTATCAGTCCTAGTACCCAAGTATAATCTTCACACATGTAAAACACTCAAAATAGAGGCTGGCACATATTAGCACTAGCAAATCTTAGCTATTCTTAATGATTTATTCTAGATTTCAGAGGCAAATTAAACTTGTTACCTGTGCATTGAACCTTAAATTTTTAAAAATTTTATGTGCATAACTTTTTGCATATACGTATGTAAGTGCACTTGTGTCGTGCAATGCACACAGAGGCCAGAAGAAGGTGTCAGGTTCCCTAGAACTAAAGTTTTGTATGGTTATTAGCTACCATGTGGGTGCTGAGAACTGAACCTGGGTCCTCTGCAAGAGCAGCCAGTGCTCTTAACTGTTGAGCTATTTATCACTCTAACACCATTATTCCTTCTTGAACTAGAAGCTTTATTAAATTCTTTTTAATTGGCCTGGTTCTTTTTTTTTCAGTCATTTGCTCTTTGCTTATATCTTCATTCTTTTAAAAAAATTTTTATTTACTATATTTTATGTGTATGAATGTATTGTCCGCAGTGTGTAAGTGCACTGGTGTCGTGCAGTGGCCACAGACATCAGAAAAGGGCGTCAGATCCCCTGGAACTGGAGTTACAGACAGTTGTTAGCTGCTGCCATGTAGGTGCTGAGAACTGAACCCAGGTCCTCTGTAAGAGCACCCAGTGTTCTTAACTGCTGAGCCATCTCTCCAGCCTTTTTTATTTTTTCTGGTCTTTTTGAAACAGGGTCTCCCTGTAGACCCAGCTGGCCTGGAACTCACTATGTAGACCAGGCTGGCCTTGAACTCACAGAGATCTGCCTGCCTCTGCCTCCCAAGTGCGAGGACTACAGGCACACACCACCAAGCCCGGCTCTCCAGCCCTTAAAAAAAAAAAAAAACCTTTATTTACTCATTCTTTTATTTCTTTAAATACATTACATATTCTGATTTTGTAATCTATGTTTGACAACTCAGTTTCAAAGTCTATGGGCTGGATTCTGCTGTCTTTTCCCCTTTGCTGATTCTTGTATAAGATGTCGTATTTCTTTGATGAATTATGATTTGAGAGTTTCCATTTCTTGGAACTTTTTCTGTGTAAGATTTTTGGATGTAATTAAAGTGGGCTCTCTAAAGGTAATTAGGTTTGGCCAGCTAGTTGGGAACACCACCAAACCAAAATCAGGTTACAACAAATTGCTCCAGCTTTTTAAACAACCTTTCGTTTAAAATTGAAAAATTCTGAGATGAGTTGGTGAAGCAGATAGTGATTTAGAGTGCATGCTGCTCTTTTGAAGGAACTGAGTTTGATCCCCAACTCCCATGTCCAGTGTCTCACAACCACCTGTAACTCCAGGTCCAGGGGATCCCATGCGTCTGGCCTCTTCAAGCACCTGCACTCCTGTGTACACCCCGTCATACAAGCACATAATTAAATAAAATAACAAAATTAGCGGGGTGTGGTGGCTCACGCCTTTAATCCCAGCACTTGGGAGACAGAGGTAGGCGGATCTCTGTGAGTTCAAGGCCAGCCTGGTCTACATAGTGAGTTCTAGGACAGCTGGGTTACAGGAAGACCCTGTCTCAAAAAGACCAAAAAAGAAAAAAAGAAAAAAAGTCAGAGGATATAGTTTCCTATCTTCTCAGAAATGCCTTGGCCGGTCTGAAGCAGTCTTCCACCCCCTCTCACATCACTCTTCTGACTCTACTGGTAATCATCATAATTTGGTATTTTCCTTGCTACTTATTTTACTGAGCTTCCTGAGAGCAAGGTCTTTTGTTTTGTTCACAACTGTTTCCCCAGTACCTAGAACAGCTCCTGACACACACCAGACACCCCATAAATACTTGCTGAATACTGTAATGAATAACCTGAAAAGTGAGGGCTGGAAAGAAGCTAGGCACTGAAAAAGGGGGGGGGGGGGTTGTGTGTGTGCGGAACCTAAGCAAAAGGAACTAGAGCTGGAGCTGGGAAAGGCTTGGCTTATTCTGGCAGTGGGGGAAGAAGGCCCTGTATCCTTGTGGGGAAACAAGTCAGAGGAGAGGTAAATGGAAGAGAACAGAGAGATAGGGCAGAGGGCAAGATGGCTTAGGGCTTTGTGTGCTGTGGTAGGAATTTGGATTTTATTTGAAATTTGATAGGAAGTCATTAAGTGTTTTCAACTAGAATGGCATAGTGTGATATAGGTATACTTTTTGAAAGCTAAGAGTGATTAGGAAGATGTAGGTAACTAATATCAGAGATAGAAAATCAAATCCAGCCAGGCATGGTAGTGCGCGCCTTTATTCCCAGCACTTGGGAGGCAGAGGCAGGCAGAGCTCTGTGAGTTCAAGGCCAGCCTGGTCTACTTAGCGAGTTCCAGGAGACCCTATCTCAAAAAGAACCCCCCCCAAAAAAAAGAGAGACAAAAGAAAATCAAACCCATTAGAGGAAATATATAGGAAATGATTCACTTTGGATATGCTGAATTCTACAATTCCTACCTCTGAAACAGTACAACCAGCTGATTCAGTTGTTTATAAGAGCCTGATATTAAGAGTGATTGCTGGTAATAACAATAATAGGTATTGAGCCGCTTCAGTGGGTCAGGAGCTGTGTTAACTAGTTATGTTTTGAAATCATAAACCTTATCCCCTTGAAGCATCATAACAAACCTTATTAGAAGAGGGCTCATTATCTATCTGTTTTACAGGTGAGGAAGCTAAGGCTGAAGAGGATGCCTGGCTTGTTCAAGGCAGTCTGTATGCAGCAGAGTTGAAACTCAAATCCAGGTCTAGTTGGTTGCCAACACTATATCCATGCCACATACATAAAGAGAAATGTTGCTTGAAACAGTGGTTATGAACATCACCAGAGAGACACTGAAACCAGAATTTAACACGTGTCCAACTCTGTAAAATATATAGATTTCATTCCAGTGGAGAAAGAATTGGGGATTTGATGGAACTGAATTCATCAGCTTCTTCACACCAGAGACTAAGACCTGCCCCCCACCCCCCCACCTCCGTCAACAGGACATGAATACATGAATTGAAATAAAACCTATTCTCTGTATTTGGAATGCAGCTATTAAAACTGATTAAACTTGCTATGTTTTTGTTTTTTGTTTTTTCCTGGAAACCAGCTATCCTGCAGTCGAAAAAAGTTTGCTTTTGCAACAGATGGAAACGCCGGAATTGTGACACAGCCTGAAGAACTGAGAACGCCTTGTTCAGAGGTCCACACGGGACCCTCTGTTCCTGTCACAGAGGCCTCTTTTTCTTTCCCACATCTGCGGCTTGTAAGACTTTCAATAGGGCAGGACTGAGTCTGAAGGGCAAGAGGCACTGACTGGATCCGGGCGCCCATCTTTCAAAGGGGTCTGCCCTAGACCCTGTCTGAACTCGGGATGATGCTTATTGCCCCACTTTTCAGTGTCTGGAGGAGAAATACGAGGACGGTAAATTTCCAAGAGATCGAGGATCAAAGCGGAACCAAACCCCAGGGCCGGCTCCGCGGTGCACACTCTCTTTTGTGAGAGAATGCTGGCAGCAGGAACGAACGCCTGTCCCCGCCCCTGTCCCCGCCAGCTCCGCCCCCGTAGTCCTGCCCTCAGCAGCCATTGGCTGGTCCAAAAGACGCGGGGTGTTGTCGGTTTGAATGGGAGCGCCTGGAGCTGGGCGCAGGCGCAGAGGAGCTCATGCGCTGAGGGCCCGCGGCGCTGAGGTACCCCTGGGCAGCGGAGGGCTTCGGGCCGGAGGTGGGGGAGTCCGAAGCTCTGGCTCACGTGACCTGCCGGGGCCGGGCGCCGGGGGCGCGCACCGGCCTCCCTCGGTGCCCCTGTCTGGCTCTGCGTTGCTACGGGGACCCTCCTGGGGGACGGGCCGTCACCCCCAGTCTGCAGTTAGAGGCGGCTGCCGCTGCAGCCCCGCCGCCCTCCGGGGACCCGCCGGCTGGGAGGTGAGTGCTGTTGGCTCCGGGACCGGGCGGGGCAGCGTCGGAGAGGGGTGTGGGGGCGGCTGCGGAGTGCCGGGTCTTGGGTCGCCTGGTGGGTTGCGGGGCGGGGCGGGGTGGAGGGGGAGGAGGCCGGGGGCTGGCCGGGACCTCCGTACGCTACGGGGATGCTGGCGGGGAGGGAATTCGCTCCTACACCGGCGTTCGCTGGCTCCCTGAAGTTTTCAGGAGTGAGAAGACTTAGCTCCCATCGGACGTCTTTAAAGAGAAAGCGTGGGCCGGGATGCCGCGACTCCCACGGATTCCGAGCGTGGCAGGGCATAGAAACCCGAATCCTCGTGGATTCTAATCCGAGACACGTCGCTATCCTTTGTAGTCCGCCGCTTGCTGTCCAAACCGAGCAGCTCTGTCAAATACTTGTTTATCACATTTAAATTCGTGAACTTTTGGGGCACCGACCTGTGTGTTTGCTTTTGGTAAACTGAACTTAGTAAATCGGGGCAGAAGTTTTAAAGTAAGCATGGAATGTTAAGACCTTTCCCTGAAACCTATAGAGCATCCTTAAAAGTGGAAAATAGAATTTCCTTATATCTTAATGGCAACCAGTTAGGTAATTTTAACTAGTATCATTTGAACCCTGCTGAAACGAATGAGGATGGAAATTTTTATTTGCCTTAATGCATAATTTAATGGTACCGAAGGACTGAAAGAAGTAGGTTCTTGGCTTTCCTCTCGGTGGCTTGTGTTGGAGTGCTTCGCGGTTTGTGTTGGAAGTTACCGTCCTGCCGAGCTGAATTTCCAGGCTGCCTCTCTAGAATGTTACACGGGATTTTCCAGCGTGATAATAGCGTGATTGTTTCTGATAAACACCTCTTTTGCGTAGGTTTTCCACGTGAAAGAGCACCGCTGCTTCATTGTCCACAGTGTAAAAGGGATCGTTGTCATTTGATGTGATATGTGTGAGGAGGGTGGGGGTGGGGGGGTCAGGGATGCGAGGCCGGGCTGCTCTTTTCACTTTACTGTGGATTTGCCTTGCAAGGCATTTCTAGTTTCAAATTCAAGGATTGGATTGACTCTGAAGTAAAAAGTTGTGAGATACAGTAGAGGCACATCCCACAGATAAGTAGTTTATTGAATTTCCATTAAGTCAGATATGTAGTATTACAAATGTTTTAATATAAATCTGAGATTTAATACTAGTGTAATTATAAAAAAATAATGGGATATAGTAGTTTTAAACATGGCTTCTCCCCACCCTCCTCAGTACTTGTTCCAATCCAGGGCTGTTGTGCACACTAAGCAAGTACTGGAGACCACAGAGGTACATCTTAGCTCTTTTAAATTAAAAAAAGTTTTTTGTTTTTTTGTTTTTTTTTTTAAAGGCAATCTTGCTGTTTCCTAGGCTGACCTGGAACTTGGAACTCTCCTGTCTGTCCCTCCCCAGCAGCCAGGGTTACAGGTGTGCACTAACTATGCCTGGCATAAAATAGCTTGCTTTCTTTTGCTATTTTAAGACAGGATCTCATATAGCCCAAGTTGGCCTTGAGCTCTTGATCCTTCTGCCTTTACCTTCTTCAGTGCTGCGGATCTGCCAGGCAAGCACCCTACCAACTGAGCCACATCCCCAGTTCTGACTTTTTCTTTCTTTAAATTATTTTAAAATTATTTTTTATTTTACATGTATGAGTGTTTTGCTTGCATGTATTTAAGTGCACCTGAGCATGCTATGCCTGTAGAGACCAGAAGAGGGCATTGGGTCCCCTGGAACTGGCGTCAAAGACAGCTGCAAGACCAGCTAGTGCTTTTAACTGCTGAGCCATCTCTCCGGCCTCCTTAGCCTTTTCTTTTCTTTTCTTTTCCTTTTCTTTTTTTCTTTTCTTTTCTTTTTTTTTTTTTGGTCTGTAGAGGCACATCCCACAGACAGTCTCTCTGTAGCCTCATCTGGCCTGGAACTCACTATGTAGACCAGGCTGGCCTCAAACTCACAGAGATCCACCTGCCTCTGCCTCCAGAGTGCTAGGTTTAAAGACCTGGGCTACCAGGCCCAGCTTATTTATTACTTTTATTTTATGTGTATGAGTGTATTGCCTGCCTGCATGTAAGTGCACCTGTGTTGTGCAATGCCTGTGGAGGACAGAAGAGGGTGTCGGATCCCCTGGAACTGGAGTTATGGACGGTTGTTAGCTACCATGTGAGTGCTGGATTTGAACCTCAGTCCTCTGGAAGAGCAGCCAGTGCTCTTAACTGCTGAGCCATCGCTCCAGCCCCCTTATTTATTATTTTTATTTTGTGTGTTTTAGTGTATTGCCTGCATGTATGTAACTGCACCTATGTTATGCAATGCCCATGGAGGCCAGAAAAGGGCATCAGATTCCCAGGAACTGTCGTTAAAGACAGTGGTTAGCCACCATGTGGGTGCTGGGAACCAAAACTGATTCCTCTGCAAGAGCAGCCAGGGCTCTTAACCACTGAGCCATCTCTCCAGCCCCCCTAGCCTTTTCATAACCATAAAATATTTCCAAGATTTACCTAAAGAAATTTTTGTAGCTAATTCTCTGGAATTCTGAAATGGAAAGCCTGATGTAGATTTTGAGTACCGTCCGTTGTAACAGTTGTATTCTATTTTGTAGTAACAGTTACCATTATTGCTATTGAGTACATTTGCATGCTCTGGTTTAGATGCTTTGTAAATCATATCAGTAACCATCACAGCACATAGGTAACTGTCATTCCCACACCAACTCTGAGCATTTAGTTTAAAATCATGGAATTAATAAGTTGCTGGTGGGATTCAAACCATGGCCCAGTCAAAACACCCAGTCTGATGCATCATTCATTTAAATCTCCATACATCTCTGGGTCCCATTTGTGACACAGTATTCTATTTAAAAACACCTCTTTAGCTTCCTTGTTTTGTTGTGAAATGTGAAGGAATATTTCCATCCTTCTAATCACTGCCTTCTAAATCAAGTAGCATTTTTGATACTCTTTTAATCTTTCTAAAAACATGAGTAGGATTTTTCTGAATTTTTGCATGCATATAAATCTATTTACTGTAAAGCAGAAATGCATTAAAGTCTGGTTTTCTCACTATTACAGATTTTTTTTCTTTCGGAGTGTTGGAGGTCAAACCCAGGTCCTTGCCCTCAGTCTCCCACTTTACTGAGCTGCACTTCTAGCCCAGGATTAGGAATTCTTTGCTGCTTCATAGCCTTTGTCTTCTTCTCAGACAATAAATCAAAGGAGGGTTGTTGGCATCATGATGGGGAGGATATGTTTGGTGTTCCAAGATGACAAGAGAAGCTTTATTTCTTTTTTTTTTTTTGAGACAGGGTCTCCCTGTAGCCCCAGCTGGCCTGGAATTCACTATGTAGACCAGGTTGGTCTTGAACTCACAAAGATCTGCCTCTTGAGTGCTGGGATTGAAGGCATATATCACAATGCCCAGTGCCAAGAGAAGCTTCTTATTCCTTGTATTTGGAATTTTGCAGTATTTCCTTTACCTCCTCATCCTGCCAGTTCATCCTCCTGTCAGGTCTAGTTTTGCTATTTCTTTGTTGTGGAAAAAACCTACAAACTTTACCATTGTTTAACTACACTGCTAAACATACACTCCAGCCAGGTATTCAGAATCTCACAACTTGGTGCTCTTTACCGTCTCAGAAGTCTCTTTCACTCCCGAGCCTTGTGCTTATCCTGGAACACAGTCTGTACAGTCCCACCTCCTTGCTTTTGCTTGAGCTGCTCCCAGTAAATAGAATCTCTTGTTTCTATTTGCTTAATGAGTGCTACCATCCTTCAGAGTGCATGTAGTACAAATTACGTTGCTTCTAGAGTGTCACTTTCCTAATATTATTAAACTGAATAGAAACATTGTTCTATAGAAGATGAAGAAGAAAAGATCATCTTTGATATATATTTTCCTATGAAGATTTCTAAACTCAAACTGTCCAGGGCCCCTCTTTTTTTGTTGTTTGACATAATCTTTTGCATTTGGGATTTATTTCTGTTTTTAAAAATATGTCTGAAGCTGATGTTGCCTTTTTTTTTTTTTTTTTGGTCTCTTTGAGATAGGGTCTCGCTGTAGTCCCAGCTGGCCTGAAACTCACGATGTAGACCAGGCTGGTCTTGAACACACAGAGATCTGCCTGCCTCTGCCTCCTGCCTCCCAAGTGCTGGGACTAAAGGCATATGTAAGGGAACTGATTTAGTATTACTGAGAAACAGTGCTTACTTAGTAGAAGGACCACTTCTTTTCAATTTCACTATTACATTTTTAAATTGTCATGTATATGTATATTGATTAAAGCTGATGATTGACTAATATTAGTACAGTGGCCTGTCCTGTCCATGGGATACTTCCAAGACCCTCAGTCTTGAAACCTTGATTAGGACTTAACCATCTTTTCCTATATAAATATACCTGTGTAAGCTTTAATTTGGAAATACTAAGAAGTTAACAGCTAGTAACAATTGTAATAGTATAGTGTAATAAAATTGTCAGCATCTGCACTCGTGCTTTGAAGCCATTTTTAAGTAAAATAAGGATTGCTTGAACATGAGGACTGCAATACTGTGATCTCTAATAATCAAGCTACTGGTGAATGACTAACAGGGCAGGTAGCATATACAGCATGGATACACTGGACACAGGGATGGATAGAATTGGGACATCTCATCATGCTACTCAGAATGGTTCATAAGTAAAATCTCATGGATCACTAATTTTGGAATTTTGCATTTAATATATTTGGATTGCCATTGACTGGAACTGGGACTGGAATGGAAGCCACAGATCAGAGAGAACTACTGTAGCAATAAATGGCTCTGGGTCATGTGCTCTGGTGGCTTGGTGACTAGTTTTTCTCAGAGCTGTATACTTCCCATTGTTTACTAATGATTATTTCTCTTTTTTCTACAGTAGTGATATTCATGACTATTTTAAGTATATTTCTTTGAACTACTAATTGTGCCATGTTTGTCCATAATTTGTGTAGTCTCTAAAA